GTTTTCCTGTGGGCTCTCTGTATTCAGAGTCCATGAAAGTCCAGTCAGAGTACACGGAGTCCAATCAAAGTCCATGGACTCTGTAGAGTACAAAAGTACGAGAGTACGTCGTTTCCCCCTTGGACAAAAAGCATTCGTGTAGTACACTAACTTATCATGAAAAATACAAAATGGACTGCTCTGAAAAGTATGAAAGAATAATTGCCATATTAAAGATCATTTTTTCTCTGTAAAAATAGAAAACGAGTATTGTGTGGCAGAAAACGTGATTTTTGTGGATCGCCTCACTCATATACGTTAAATGGCAAATATATAAATAAAAATTCGAGTATTCAATAGTTAAGAAAAGTTTTTCAGTGGAATTATTTTTTTTCAATTCTTTGATGAGTAAAGGACTTCATACATTAAACCCACTTGATTTCAAGATAATTTGACACTGATTTGAAACTTTACGCTTTGTTGAATCACTTCATGGATACAGTCAAAAAAACAAAGCAGATACTAGAAGTTTTATTCAATAAAAAAGAACGATTTTTTGTTGAGCAATTCAACTTAGATAATTAGTGAAGAATTTATTTCCAAGAATTAAAAATTATTCACTAGATATAAAAGCAGTGAAAAAGTTAAGGACGTGCAATAGTTGTCATACCACGTGTATGTTGTTCATCTCTAATTTGTTTTCCTGTCATGCCAGCATATAATTTAATAAAAACTCTTTTTAATTCACGCCTAAATGCAGGTGATGTTGCAACATAAATATAGAATGGTACGGCTGTATTAAAATACAACATAAACGATTGTAAGAAATAATTAATAAAGGTTTCAATTTGTTTTCTTTGTTGACTTTTTACTAAGGAATCTGTTATTAATTTATAAACAAGATAAACTGAAAACGGTAATGTAGTAATAACATAAAACATAACTTCAATAAAAATCATTTTCATTAAATCTCGATCACGTTTTCGAATTATACGAATAGGTGGATGATTTTCTACTTCATTTCTTCTCCCTGGTTGAATACGACGTCGTAAACTTCGTAAATTTTTCAAAACTAACACACTAAATATAGTCATCATTAATGGAGGAATAACTCCACTGACCATCATATAATAAATTGTATAAATCATTGCATATGTTTCATTAAATATATTGCATGAATTATTTTGAACGGATCGTATCCATGAAAAAAATATTATGATTAATGACCAAGATATGAAACAACCAATAATAACATAAATAGCCACTTTAGGATGACTCAATGCACGAAAACGAACATTACTACTGCAAATTGCGTAACGATCCATACATGATAATGCTTTAGCTGTGCGTAACATTTGAAAAAAGACATGTCGAAAATAAAATTGCATTTGACAGCCAAGTAAAGTTGCAGTTGTTATATCATAATAATCCAATGTATAGATTATTGGAATTATTCCAACATTAAGACAACATATATTAAACACTGTCATTGTTAGTAAATAAAGTGAACAAGCGTTTCTACGTTGTTCAGGTTGAATAAAAACAGCAATAGCTAATAAATTACCAATATTTCCAAATGCAACATATGTACTCATACCATATCGTGTTAGCATCTTTTGAACAGATGCTAAATAAGCTAGTGATGTTGCCATTTGTTTGTATTGTTTTGAAAAAAAAAGCAAAAAAATAAAAATGAATGATGAACAATATACAATAGGAATCTTGTTTATAAGAAGAGAAAAGGTGTCAGATGAATTATCATCAACATATATTTCCATGCTTCAATAACTTCTTTTCATTTTTGTGAAAAAACAAGAAAGAAACAACATTTCTTATCATGGATTCATCTTGAAATTTTTCATTAAAATGCAATAGATTTATTCAGTTTGAACGATCATCTTTCAGTGTAAATTCTTCTCGTCATTTTCGCTATTTTGAATAATCTGCCAGCAACTAAGGTATTGCCCAACTCGATAGAAATATTTAGTATTCTACTTCTGTCTCACCTGCTAATCAACTCTGGAAGATACATTATTGTACATGCTTTCAAGCGAAACAATGAATTATACATGAAAATTAACCAACGATGTCTATTTTCTACTTTTTTTGCATAAACATCCTTATCTGTTGACATATAACACAAGTATCAAAAGCATAGACGAAGTTTATATCAGACTTTTAAAAAATCCAGTTGTGGAAACATCTAACTAATGTACGAATAGTTTGCAAAACAGAATTTAATGTTTTTTTATAAATATATTTCCTTACAGATAAAATAGACTGTTGCCTCTCATTTTTAATTTCTCTAAACCGTATTTTGAGATAATTTTCATTTCCAATTATTCTAGAAAATTTAGCCTGCTATAAAATCATGGGCTACGATAAGCTGCTTAGAATTAACAAGAATCAAAAATAATGGACTCGATAAAATATTCTATAAAAATGTTATTTTTAGTCCCTGTCAAAAATTTTTATTCTTGGTGAATTAAATTCAAACAGGAGAAAAACATTTGTTAATGCATAAAATTCTCATTCTAGTTGACTACTTTTCAATCTCTTCTAAAATCTATTAATAGATGAAAATCGAACCGGAATCTTTTGCGAAGCCTTTTTACCCATAGGTTAGAAATCTGAGAACATATTTTAAACGTCCTTGAGCTTAATCTGGATAAATTAAGTAAGTTCTTATTAGAAATGAGCGGGAGCAAGTTTTTCCTGGTCCCGGCTCAGCATATCTCTAGTCTTGAGACTAATTTATTCAAATAGATGTTTTAAGGCGAATGAGTATCTCTGTATTATAATAATTTATCTTTTTTAAAAAATTCCTCATTTCATTCTCCATAAAATCGTATATTTTTCTATTAAAGTAAATGGTATTCGTATTTTTACAAGACACGCCTCAAATAAACAGTCATATGTAAAAAATATATTTTGAATAAATTATACGTTTTTTTTTTGAATAACAACTTCTTTCAAATTGGATATTTTAATAAATTTAGATCATTCAAGGTTCGATAATTCTTTACATAGAGATAGAGAGAGAGGAAAAGTCATTTTGGTATCAATGTTGTTTGAGTTGATGGGTTTAAAATTTTGCATTTCTGTCTGCTGAAAATCGAACCTTTCATAAGACCATAGTACAAAGTTGCATGCTCATTATATCAAGTAGCAATGATATCATGATAATGTGGATGGTGCATATGAAAAAAAATACCCACGTTCTACTAGCATATGTTAATGATAGTCTGTAAATAATAATAATTTATTCTTGATTAAATAATGAAGGATATGTGCAAATTCACAATATGGAAAGCTTTAAATCAAGATTATGAAAACCAGAACTTTTTGTACTGTAGAGATGATCTGTAGTGATATTCGTTTGGAATTCTTTGTTCCAAATTTCGTTCATTTTATCATAGACTTTGTACATTTTACGATCTTCGATGATTGGTGGTTGAATACGAAAGATGAAAGAGCCGACGAAGCGATTACAATTAGCCATATATGTTAAATGGTTCTTTTAAAATAAGAGGACCATATAAGCTCGATCTAGATAGAAAAACATAAGTACAACTGAATTTCATTTTCTCTGGCAAACAAATATTTTACAACATATGTATGAAGTGTAAAGTCATTCCCATCTTTGAAAGGATATTTAGCTGCCATAGACACAAATCGTCCATATGATTTCTTCAATTGTTTCAGTGCATTGAGCCTAAGATCGATCCTTCTCAATTCATTAGCATCATAGCTTTGAATAAGAACTTTCATTTGCGTTTCAGATATAATCTTCTTTTGCATAAATTAAGCCAGATGATATTCATGATGATAGCAACTTCGGTAAATGATAAAGAATTCTCATAATCTTTAGGAGTTTGAGCTGAAAATGCATCATACCATAATTGATCATGGGAATAGGTGCAATAAGCATCATCAGATAAATCGAATACATAATATGAGCGATTTGATAAAGCTTCTTTTTTCTCATCAATTAATGCGGTTGAACAATATTGCATGCGGGTGTGGGTGTTGTTCTTTTCTTCAAAAACACATTTACATTCATAGTCTACCCACCCACACCCAGACCCTCGTGAATGCAACAGATAGCTTGCCTCAACCTTCGAGTTAAAGAAAAGATGAAAATATACTTTTGTTGGCAACTGCTGTCGTATTCTTCATTGTATTGATACGCCGTGGTATCTAGACTTGTCTTTGTCGCCGCAAAGAAAATAAAAAAAGCATGCTCTCTTCTTTCCATTCTCTTCTCATAAGCTTAAGTAAACTAAAGAAGAATACTAGGTGATGCTACGTCATCTACACCGAACGACATTCAGCACATCACTTGCGTAAGTAAAGTAACAGAGCAGATAACGGAACATTTTTTCTCGATCTGATGCTATGTTTCGGTTTCAATGTAAAACTGACCCAGTGGCTATCTTTTCTCAACGATGATAAAAGTAAGATTAATTTTTCTTCTGTTATAAAACTCGTAATGTAAATTCTCAGATCAGGGATCGGCAGGATGTGAATTCTACATACACAACGGAACTGTGGGTTTGTATTTTTTTGAGCCAGCAAAGAGCTGATCTTGTGTATAAAATATCCGGATAAAATTGCCCAGATACTCTTCTTTTACTGCTGAAAACGAGCGAAATCGTTCCTGTACCGTTTTCTCAAGTAATCCCACTAGTCATGCTAAAATTTACAAGTAGCTTTTAGCGTACGAAAGTAACAAAAACATTTTAATCGGTCATTAAACGAGTTTATTTGTATTGCTGAAGCATCACAGTATTATATTATATAAATCCTTCAGTATTTTTGCACTTAGTATCTCCAAATTCACAGTGAAGCAATACTAGAGTCAGTTTGTATCTTGCAGGTTTGTGTCTTTCTGACAAAATCATGATGTCAATTATTCTGAATTTGAACGACTAACCGTAATTGATTATGAATGACCCTGTTACAGTTTTCTTTATACTTCTCTTTCATCGATCAGTTTTAATCTGAATC